AAAAAAAAAAAAAAAAAGAGAGAGAGAGAGAGAGAGAGAGAGAGAGAGAATATCTAGAATTTGTGAACTCTGAGGACAGTGACAGATGATGGCTCTTAGTTTGAGCACCTACCTCTTGAATAAACAATGGTCTGGCTCCATCAGGAAAAACTCATTTCCAATGTCCTTTCTATATGTTCTAGGACATGTGCATTATATTCCTCCAATCCTTGGCTCCTTCCCCCCCCCCCATTTAATCTTAGATTTAATACCGTGGGATCAATTCCATTTACAGAGAAAAACTTTCAAATGACTATCATGCAAATTTGTTTAACACAACAGGAACCCTTGCTTAATTTTACACAAAAGGATGATCTCACTGGGTGGTGCACGCAGACGATCTGGGTAGCAAAGTGAGAAGAAAGTTTGGGGATGTTACACAGACATTTAGAATATGCCTTATCACAAGTCCCCACCATGAACTTTTCACTGGAACTCCTGAAACTAATTACTTAAGCAAGGTGGAGCTGGATTTTCTGTTCCCTGTAGTCAAAACTTTTAGGAAAAAATAACCCTAAAATGGGCAGCTCCACTGTCGCAAAGAAATCCAATTAAGTCAGATCAAACCGAATTAAAATGCCTATCATTTTATTAGGCACTGTGCTCTCAGGTGGCCAAGCGCATGGCGGGGAGCACATGCAAACCCGGAACCACGTGTTTCTCCTCTGGGAGCCCACTTAAACACCCTGTGGGAGTGACCCCTAGAGAGGGGTCAGGACCTGGCATGCTGGGATTTGGAGTCCAGAGCAATATACTCCAAGGCCAGAGGGGCTGGGATGGATGCCAAGGGCTATGCCTACGCTCCAGACTTAACAAAAACCATTCAAACTAACACTGTATCATCATTAATGTGGAGGTTAAGCATAAAGGAAGAAGCCACCCATGGTGGTTTAACTGAGAATGGTCCCCATAGGCTCATGTGTTCAAAGGCATACTTCCCAGGTGGTGGAACTGTTTGGGAAGGATTAGGAGGTGTGGCTTTGCTGGAGTAGAATTTTCACTGGGGGTGGCATCTGAGGTTTAAAAGGCCCATGCCTTTCCAGATTAGCTCTCTCTATCCCATGCTTGTGAATCAAGACACAAGCTCTTAGCAACTTCCAGCTCCATGTCTGCCAGCCTACTCCCATGCTCCTCACCATGATATTCATGGACTCTACTGTTCTCAGGAACCGAGCCATAGAATAAATAGTGCTTTGTCATAGCAAATGAAAAGTAAGTAAGGCAGCACGTATAATGAAAACTTAGGATGTAGAGAACTCCTAATGTAAATAAATTCCATTCCCATGTGGCCCTGAAATCATCCTTTTCTAGCATGACATTTCTCCCTTGTTTGGTCATTCATATCAGAATATTGACATACTATTGTCTGCCTCAAAAAAAGAAAAAAAAACAGTCAAGATTATAAAAGCCCTATTTCTGGGACACTATCCTCTACCCTCCAGCTTGTAAATGCGGAGTTATTCTAGTGCTTGAACCAACCCCCATGGGCAGTTAGTTACTTGGGCATTGGTCTAGTGTGGAACACACATGCAGTATGCCCGTAGCATCACACACGCGGCATGCCCGCAGCATCAAACTGTGATGCTTCCAAACATGCACTGCAGCCCCCGCTTCTTCCAAAGTTCAGAGTTGATCCAGCTGCTTACACAACAGACCTGCTACCTAATAGGGAGCTTGTTCAAACTGTCCAAAGAGAAAATAATACCCCACCCGTGCAAACCTATTTCTCTCCCATCTTTCCCATTTCAAGAAATGATACCTGTTACATCTGGGTGCTTTCCCCTGCTGCATGCCTATCCCCACCTCCTGCATCCTCACTGTACTTGCAGCTGTTACAGCCCTTTTATAGACCATAATCCCCTTGGCAAGAGCCTTGCTTATGCATTTGGATTCACCGTTCATTCCTCTCAGACTCACCTCTGGGCTGCCAGACGTTACGGATTTTATGGAACTAGGGCAGGTATCATCTCGGATCTCTAGAACTTGTATAAGTGTAGGGTAAATGTCAAGCCCTTATAATAGTGTGTGACTGTTACGATGGAGAGAGTGAAGGAGTTCACGAGAACTATTTAGCTTGAACTTGTGAGTGTGATACTATCTTGTTTTGAAGACAGAGTCCACCAGGAGAAAGGGAAGCAGTATTGCCTGACCTGAAGCATCCAAACAGCCCTGCGGGCATAGACGACACACATGTAAACAGGTCTCATCAAATCTGGGCTTCTCTGTTACTTCACACATTCCTAGTCAGACACTACCTAAGTGGCTCCGGCTAAAAAACTGAGTGGGGCCAACTATTAAGTCAAAAAATGGCAAACAAGTAACAAAATTGGGGAAAATTTAAGTATTGATAATAATTTTTAAAATTTAGGATGACGGTTGAATTTTTAGTTAGAGGACCATAATGACCACGAGACCCCAGAGCAGGCAGTTCCAAGTCTATGTTGCCCTATAGGACAGTCCAGAATCATGGCCCTATATTTTGACTTTTCTTAAATATGCTAAGTCCTAAAGCTATAAGCACCAATTTATAAACATTATGAATATAGGAACTGACAAGTACTTCCAGCTAAAAGTGCTTTTCTTCCCCTCCAAGGCCCTACGAAAAGGATTCAAAGCAGTATTAAAAAGGATTGAATCTACAGGGAAAACAGGGAGGGAGAGGGAATATTTATCCATAGCATACGTGTAAGAGAGAACAATTTTCCCCCATAGCGCTAACAAGAGATTAAGACACCAAGTCCTGCCACATGGAGAAGAGAACATTCTCGGAGCGAGGAGGGGAAGCAGAGAAGTGGGGACAGAGACGGGATGAGAAAAAGCAGTTAGTAACGCCACATTCAAAGAAATCAGAACATTGGCTCTTCTCAACAGCAAACTCAGGACAACGATGGCCACAAAATTTAACGGACAGGCTGGAGAGATTATTGGGGAATGTTATTTTAAGGTGTGTTGCTTTTGTTCATGCTGCATTTGCTTAATTCTGTGAAAGCTGTGTTACTTTGTCTGAAACACCCAACGGTCTAATAAAGCGCTGAACCACCAACAGTAAGGCAGGAGCAAGGAGAGGCGGGGCTGGCAAGCAGAGAGGATACAGAGGAGAAAAGGAGTTAAGAGGAGGAGCCAGCCAGCCAGGCACCTAGCCAGCCACGGAGTAAGTGAAAGTAAGAAATACAGAAGGAAAGGAAACAGGCCAGAAGCAAAAGGCAGTCAGGATACGGTAAGAAAAGCTGGCAAGAGACAAATCAGGCTAAGGCCGGGCATTTATAAGTAATAATAAGCCTCTGTGTGTGATTTATTTGGGAGCTTGGGTGGTAGCCCCCCAAAAAGCCAAGAGTAAAGTATCACACTATAAGACATGGTTCAGCAGTTAAGAGTACTTGCTCTACATCAACTACCTGCTGACCTCAGTCCTCAGGCATCCGATGCCCTTGACTGGCCTCCACAGGCACCCGCACAAAGGTGGAACATGCACACACATGTTTAAGTGAAGGGGGGAAAAGACTCCATGGGTAAAGTGCTTCCTATACAAGCATGAGGACCAGAGTTTGATATCCAAATTAAAAATAAACTGCTGGGTATCACTATCATATACCTATCAATCCCAGCACCAGGAGGCCTGATGGAGGAGGATACCTGGGGAATCACTGGCCAGCCAGTCTAGCCCAATTGATGAGCTTCAGGTTCCAGTGAGAGACCTGGTCTGAAAAATAACAAAAACTAAAAGCTCCACAGGAATACATAACCAGGTGAGGGGATGGGTGTATGGCTCGGTCAGTAAAGTGCAAGAACAGGGAATTGAGTTGAATCCCTCTGGCAGGATGGTGGGCACACGGAATCCGGCACTGGGGAGGCAGAGACAGGAGGATTTCTGTAGTTTGCCAGTCATATCTAGCTTAATTGGTGGTCTTCAAGCAGACGAGAGATCCTGTCTCGGGATGGGAAAATGCAACTCACCAGTAAGGTCAATGTATAAAAATCGGCTGCACTTTTTATCATGGCAAAAATGAAAAAATGAAGTGTTAATAGCCAAGATACCTAAGTCGAGATGCTAATCAAGAGACGAATGTAGAAAATGTGGTTTATATATGCAATGGAGTCCTATTCAGCAATAAGGAATGAAATTATGTCATTCTCAGGAAAATAGAATTAGAAATCGCCATGATCAGTGAATGTCAGACTCAGAAAGAAAATTATATTCTCATACATGTAATCGAGAACGGACAGGAAACAAGGGAAGGAGGGAGGGAGGGAGGGAAGGAGATATTTGGGAGAAGGAACACCACTGAGAGGAGCTAGGTGGAGAGTGTAACGGGGCGAAGATGACCAAAGTACAATGACATGACTGTGTGAAAATGTCATAATGAAAATCATTATTTTGCACGCTAAAAAAAATCAATAAAAATAAAATGTTATATCCAATTGATTTTATAATCAATAAGTATCAAATGCTTAGGAATACGACTAATTAAGGAGGTGGAAAACACCAACACAGAAAGCCACGAAACACTACTGGGCAGAAAGGAAAGTCCTAAATAAAAGGATTTTACATGTGTTTCAGGATTGCAAAAATTCTGTATTTTCTAGATGTATATATGTCTATTAAGACTGATTAGTCATGCTCAAATGGGGTTTGGATGTGGGTTTGGGAGGATGTGTCTTCATTTCTTATTAGTTTTCCTTGCAAACAGTTCAGCTTTTCTTTTTCTTTTTTCTTTTTGCTGTCTAAAACTATAAAACAAAAAATTTGAAAGCTCATTTAATAAGGTTTTGTAAAAAGGCCATCTGGGTATCTGGGTGCTAAAAACACTTTCTGAATGTCAGCATTCAAGCACTAGAATAAAAAAGGACAAGCAAAAGTTGTGTAGGTTATCCAATTTTTTTTTTAATCTGAACAGAAAATAAGTATACAGGTTTGCTGAGGAGACATGGTGAAACTGAATGTGATGTACTGATGGAATCAACACATCAAGGTTATTTTGGTAGCCAGTGATTCTGAGTTATGCAGAAACAAGACTATCAACTGCCCCTCTCTGAACCCATTTGATAAAACTAATTTCACAACCACTTATTGATCCCATTCAGTCTTGGCTCTCCTTCATGCAAACAACACATGTAGTCAGTCATTCATGGTGCTCGGAGCCAGAGATGACTTCTCAACACAGTCATCCCGATGCAAACGCTGTTGTTCAGACAGTTCCTAGGAACATAAAACCACAGACGAGGACAGCAATAGCACTGCGTGCTCAGTGTGCTTACTTCCTGTAGCGCCTCTACAGCCACACGGCATTCACCATTACACAACCACATTTTTGATGAACCTGTCCAATCTTCTGCACAAATATCTTTGTAAGACCTTGAGCTCGACACAGGACGATGATCATGCCGGGACGTCCCACACAGTGAAAAGACTGGGTGTAGTGTGCAGTAACCACAAGCTGTAAGCACAACTGCACACACTGTTGCACACCACCACAGAGAACCTTCAGAACAGCTCAGTCCAAGACACTGAGAGGGGTACACTTATTATTTAGCTAAAGAAAACGCAAACGGCTCTCTTGGAGTCAAATGCACCTCAAGGCGTGTATGAGGAATGAGTATAAAAGCAGCAGCTAAAGAAATCTGCCACCGTGTAATAAATGCTATCCTGTACCGATGAGATACATTTTAACAATGCACTGTAATTGGCTGGTTCCCATTACCATGGGGCATATAGAAACGAAACTCAAGACTACTTTGTTAGAATAGAACAGCTAATGACCCCAGTTTTAAATAGGGTTCTTCATTAAAAGAAAAGATAGAGCCATAAAAGTCAAATTAGTTGACTTTAAATGGTTTACATCCCAGGATGAATCAGGTTACACTGATTTAAGCCCAATTTAATTCAGGCAGGTTTTTTAACCACAAGAATAAGGACATTCTTAGTACATAATTAATAATTAAACCAACATATACACAATTAGCAATATCCTATACAATATTAAGTGTTTTAACATTTCAATTATCATGTATCTAGTCAATTTGTTGCTTTGTTTTTTGAAAAAAAAAACAAGCTTAACCTTATTTTACAATGCACTGTGCATTAACAAATGCATTCTTGTTTCATGGAAGCAGGGAAGTTCTCGAGATGGTCTCTAGGATCCGAACTCAACTGTGTCTTCTGTGATCTTCTTGAATTCATAATTGCCTCTACCGTCCATATGCAGGTAGTACTATGGAGAGACAGGAGCGTCAGTAACTAAGAACAGGAAATGCCTGCACCCTTCTTAGTTAACGTATAGGCACAGCTCAGGACTGTAGCTCACCAATCTCCACTTCAAACCAAAGAACTATTCATGTGCCTTCTGACACACAGAACAAAGCTTCCTGTTTTCAGTTAGTGAACTTTTATTCATAAAGATTAGTTTTTTCTGTTTATTTTTCTCTATTGCTATTTCTTAGCAGCTCTCTGTGTTCCCCTCCTTCACAGGATCACTGCTCTTGCCTAACAAAGACAAGGCCTAGGGCTAGATGCCAGCACAGGGAGGGAAAGAGAAAGAAGAGGAAAGATAAGAGAAGTGGAGGGCAGGGAGAGAACTCTGTTCTCAACACCACCCCACCAACCTTATGGAAACTCATTCAGAATATGCAGCACTTTTGAACCAATGCAAACCTCAGCACAGTACCTTTGTAAACTCCGTGACTGTATATAGATCTGTTTAATTACATTTCAAACACAGTTGGCATTATGCCATCTCTCCACATAGTCCTGATCTTTACTGAAAATGCTCCTAAAATTTTGCCATCTAACTTTTTAAATTAACTAATTAATTTATTTATTTACTGGTGTTTATGTGCACTGGTGTTTTTGCCATGGGCGTCGGGTTCCCTGAAACTGTTGCCACAGATAGGTGTGAGCTGCCATGTAGGTGCAGGGAATTAAACTTGGGTTCTCTGGAAGAGCAGTCAGTGCGTTTAACCCTTGACCAATTTCTCTAGCCCCAGCCATGTAACTTTTAAGACTTTCTCTTCTTATGTCAAACCTGCGTTATAATGACACAGCTCAGTTACCCATAGCTATTACACACCAGTCACTTACAACACCCGAGAACTGCTCTCTAATCTAGTAGAGCTAGAGTTTATTTACATTATAGCTTTCAAAACTGATGGCAATAATACTGAACAAAGTCCTATCATATACTATAAAACTCAAAATCACCCTTTGCCTTAAGGTATACGCCTATATGGTAACATTCACCATGAAATCCAAAATCAGTTATCAAAACTCACATTTTATGTAAGATAAACATTCATTATCCCACAAAAGGAAAAAAATACAAACCTCGTGGTGTTTCCAAAGGGATTTTCTGTGTGAAACAGTAAAGAGGGTGATGCCAACCTAATTCAAAGAAAAGGTTTACATTTATCAATAACAGTAAGCCACAAATTACACATACATTTTAGTTGCTAGAATACCATGTACAGCAGTTACAGTTAAGAATTAATGTCAAGGGCTGGAGAGATGGCTCAGTGGTTAAGAGCATTGCCTGCTATTCCAAAGGTCCTGAGTTCAATTCCCAGCAACCACATGGTGGCTCACAACCATCTGTAATGAGATCTGGTGCTCTCTTCTGGCCTGCAGGGATATATTGTATACATAATAAATAAATAAATATTAAAAAAAGAATTAATGTCAAAATACATCCCCCTAGATTTGATTTATTATGAAAAAAACAGTAAGATAAAAATAGCAAAAGGTAGCCAGGTGGTAGTGGTACACGACTTTAATCCCAGCACTTGGGAGGCAGAGGTAAGTGGATCTCTGTAAGTTTAAGGCCAGCCTGGTCTACAGAGAGAGTTCCAGCACAGCCAGGGCTACACAAAGAAACCCTGTCTAAACCCTCCCACCCTCCCCCCCCCCAAATGCAAAAGGTTAAAATTGGGACAAAACAGCATAAATGGTCTACAGTCAAATTGCTTTCAAATGCAGAATCATAATTCCCTATTGTAGAGTCTTATTTTGGAATGTGTCTCAGAGTTCAGACACATTCTGAAGTTTGATTATTCCATTTCTTCTACAAGGTTCTACGACAGAATTCTGCATGTGTCTATATACTGAAAAAATTGAAACAAAACGTTTAAATATCTTTTGTAAGTTTGAGTCAGGTATTGCTATCCAATAAGCTTGCTATAAAATTATAAAAAATGTTCAGTCTTGATCCAGCTTTCAGGATCCCAACTGCACTCAGGTGTTCAGAGAAGCATCAATAGATACAGTTGTCCTAGATCAGTGAGATCAATAGCTCTTAGCTGAGAGGCGCCTTCTCTCTTTGGTGAACATTTTGGTTATGACTGAAGGCTTTCTTCTTGGTATACTGAGAACAATACTGCCATCTGATGGACAGACACCAGAATTGTTACTAAACAGTGTAATGCCTTAGGACAGGCCCTGCACAGACAGCCTAGGAGTTATCCATCCAATATATCTGAGGGTGAGAAGCACTACCTTAGGTCAGAGCCTCAACACACACCTCTCATGCTTGGGAGATCTGGAACTGGAGTATAGGTGGTTGTAAGCCACATGTGGAACATGTGGATGCTGGGAACTGAATCCAGGTCCTCATAGAGAGCAGCAAGTGCTCTTAACCACTAAGTCATTTCTCCACACCCTAATTTTACTTCTATTTTATAATAATTTTAAGATTAACCTAAGTAAATTCCTGATAATTTCTACCATGAAACTTTAGGATTAAATTATTCTGCTGGCACCAAGTGGTATCACTTAAACTGTGTCCTAAGTTTGGCTGCCATGTGCAAATTCGTGAGGACCTGCATAAGAAGATAAGAACATTATCATCTTTGTTAAACATACATTTCAACTGCATCAAAAGCCCATTTAGACATATTTTTCTGTTCCTGATTTTGCAATTGGATTAGACCTTAATTAGAGTAGGCATACTGTATATTAGAATTACTTAAGCCAACACACAAAAGCAATGTTGGTTGCTGAGCTCTGAACACCAGATGCTACCTTTCCATAATTAAATCTCATGCTCATGGCTTAGTTTTGGCTAAGCAGCATCACTGTTCTCTTTAATGTTAAACATTCTAAATTGAGTTTAAGTGATGCTTTATTCCCTTTGTAAGTTAACACTGGTTTTGTTGTTAGAAAAAGATTCTCAGGCAGGCAAGACACCTTAGTGGATAAAGAGACTTGCCACTAATGCTGAGTCTAATTCCTAGGTGGACATGGAGGAGGAGAACGGACTCCCACAGCCGTCCTCTGACCTATACCATGAGCAGCACGGCACACACATGTATACTAGATCCACAAACAAATGGTTTAAAGGCTCTAAACTTAAGGAGTCATTCCCTTGTTTTCTGCTTCTTTGTATTCAGTGCTATTGTGGCAATGTTAAATTATCATTGAACCCAAGTGACTTTTCTTCCCTCAAATGCAATGTGTTTTATAAATTTAGACAACCTTAAAACATAGGAGGCAACAACATAAAATTGACAGGAAAATGCCCTTTTAAAAACAGTTTGTCTGGTCTTAAGCATGAAAACACTACAAAGATCTCTAATACCTAGAAAACAGAAAACCACATAAGAATTACTAAAGGGGATTCAAAAATTAGAAACAAGCCACTAAGGAGCTGTTCCAGCCTTCCTATGGAGAAGACTACAGAGGATCCTTTTGTTATCACACCACAGGTTCGGCCTTTTATATGCATTCGCATGGAATTTTGTTAATGTGCTGCTCTCTGTGGCAAAGCTTGAGATTCTGACTTCTAACTCCCAGCCAGGGGTGCTAATGTTGCTGGTCCAAGGCTATCTTCCAAATGGCCGGAATGTGTGTGTGTGTGTGTTCAACATGATTATTTTTATTTGTTGTAAATGCCCCAAATACAGATTAAAAAATGTTAAAATACTCCTGTAACTCACTTATTTACACAGGACCTCTAAAACAGAACGTATTATTATTTTTCCAATCTAACAAGAGTACAGATGGTTGCAGCAGTTCCTAAAAACAAAAACTCACCAGGACTAGTGAACAAGCTTAAATAATAGCAGTATGGCCAGCCTCATATTTGCCAAGCAAAAGAAATCTTGTAAAATACTGTCCAGTTAAAATAAACTAGATGAATTAAGCTACTCTAAGAAGGGCCGGGCGAGGACTCAGTGGACACGGGGTCACTATGCAAGCACGAGGACTAGGTTTTGACTCCGCAGCACCCGTGTGGTGGGCCATCTGGAATCCCAGTGTTCAGGATGCAGGGACAGGACAAGCCAGCTGGCTAAACTAGCTAATCCACACACTCCAGGTACAGCAGGAAACCCTGCCAGTGAATGAAGCGAAATGCAATTAAGGATAGCAAAAATCAGTCTGTCTCCTCCACATGCACCCTATGCATGCACACCACCACACATGCAAACACACCCAAACATAGGTATGTATGCCACCAACACATAAACACAAAAAGTTTTAGACTGCCAAAAGGTTACTACTGATTTTTCATGATTTAAAAGTGATATATTGGGCTGGAGAGATGGCTCAGAGGTTAAGAGCACTGACTGCTTTTCCAGAGGTCCTGAGTTCAATTCCCAGCAACCACATGGTGGCTCACAACCATCTGTAATGAGATCTGATGCCCTCTTCTGGTGTGCAGGAAAACATGCTGTATATAACTAATAAATAAATCTTTAAAAAAAAATAAAAGTGACATATAGGTAAAGTGATGGGACAAAGGAAAGACAGGAATTCTTTTGTTAAGTCTGAGAGTAAGTAATGAAGTCAAAGGTGGATATAGATATACTTGAACACTCTCCACGTCTAAGAAATTGCTAAAGAGAGATATTTAGAATGTATGGATAATTCCTTATATTCTGTTCATATCTACAGTTGTATTTAGAATGCATTAATAATTCCTTGTACTTTGTTGTTTAAAGGCAATACAGGGCATTACCTTCTGGCAACAATCTCATTGCTTGGGATCTCCTTTGGTATAGACTTGTGGTTGGACAGGACACACAGATATGCAGTGAAGCACCCGTGGCATGACACTTACCTTCCGACAGTGGCTGTAAATGTAGTCTTCCACATCAACACTGACTGCGCTTGTGCACTCATCCAGAATGGCAAACTGGGGTTTATGATAAAACAATCTTGCCATCTAAAGCAGAAAAGAAAATAGTCTGTGTAAACAGAGGCAGGCCTAAAAATAAAACTAATAAAGAAAAATAAATTTACTTCAGCTACATATACTTTTTGGAGTCTTAAAAAATTAAAATATGAAAATTATTCTAACTAAAAAAGCACCACCACTCCTAGAGATAAAAATAATATAAATAAGACAAATTGTTTTCACTGTCATCTTAAACAAAGGGAGAAATACAGTGTGTGGGAAATATTTACTGCTAAGAGAAAACCAAAAACTGGTGTGAGATGAGATTGAGCTTTAAAATAATAAAAGTTCACTAGACAAACAAGTTTTGTGTTTTAACAAAACCTTAAAATTCAGATTATAGATGACTTAAATGTTATTTAAGTAATGGCACCTGTTAGAGCTCCCACCAATCATCTTTTAACACCTGCCAAGGCTCCATTGTTGGTCCAGGGTGTGCAGTTTTTGAAAGCTGGTGCTGATCTTGTAAATGGACTTAGGAGCACTAATCCATATATTTCTTCCATTAGCAGGAATGTGAAATATTTTTCCTTAGTTACATTCCAAATATATTTCTGGAAATGGCCTGTCCTTGTCTTGGACATTTATTCTAATTTGTCACTTGTCCCCAATAGAGATCGCCATGTTGCAAAACCAAGCAGCACGTTCCTAAGCCCAATCAACTGTCTCCTGCGAAGCACTCTATTCAGACCACTTCCTTCTTGAGGGTAGGAGTGAAGCCACTGGGAGTCCTCCTCTTCTGCTGCGGTCTCATTCCTTCCAGTGCTTTCCCAGTTGGCCATTAAGCATGTGTATCTGGGGTCCTCAGAATTAAATCCCAGGTCCTCTTTCTTCTCCCTCAGAGCTAGAAGCTGAATCTTCCTGACCCTGCCTTAACCCTCCCTCTCAGGCACCCTCCATTCAGAGTTTAAAGTCCACTTGCCGTTCCTGTCTCTGCCATGCCCTTATCCCAGAGAACACTCACTTCTGCCGGATTACACAACCTCCAGCTCCCTCTCTGCTTTCCTCCACTCTCTGTGAAACTAGGGAGAACCTATCACATGTAAACCAAAGAACCCACTGACTAAACCTTCTCCATGGTTTCCCCTCTCTCATCTCCAAGGTCCTGCAAAGTCTTCTCCTGCCTGCTCTGATCTGGACACCCCAGCCAGGGCTGTCTTTTCCCAATTGTTCAACCACTAGTTAGCTTCACGTGTCACTATCCTTTCTCTTCTTTCCCCCTAAGTATGGTGTCCTAAGCCTTGGACTCTGCATGTCACTCTTTGCTTTCTTTCCTTCCATTTTTGTTGCTGTGTTGTTTCTGTTTGACAGGGGCTCTCATTCTGTGCTCACTGTGTAGCCCAGGCTGACCTAAGTTCATGGCAATCCCCCTGCCTCTGCCTCCGGCACGCTGGGACCATGCCTGGTGCTGTCACATCAAGCTTAGTCTTTCTCGTCCAGGCATCTTCCAAGTGCCTGCTCAATGTCACTCTCTCAATCCAAGTGCACGCCTTACGGAACTGCAACCGTCTATATATGCCACTTTTTTTTTTATCTTTCTTTGTGTGTTTGCCTGAGCTGTGAGAAACACTGAAGTAGAAATCATGATTAAACCACTACAATATACCCAACATTTACACTGCTGCTCCATTCAAATACATATCAAGGAGATGACTAAAGCAAACTGCTTTTTTGGGGTTTATACCCATGATCATGAAGTGAGGAACGGGAAGCAGCAAACAGACACAATCACAGAGATATAGTTCATTAATTGCCTTTCACAAGTGCCTTTCTCTTTTCTCATCATGCACACGCGTCTGCGTGTGTCTATCTCCATCCATGCTGCCGTCGGCTATACGTTGCCTTGTGAAGCAAATATTCAAACCATCATCACACTGCCTGAGCTGAGCGTGATCAGCCCCTTCCACCAGTTCTAACACCAACTGTCTGCCCGGCAAGCCCTAAACCACGGACGTGCAGTTTCCCAGGTGATTGGGATAGTCAGTGATGACCTCATAGGGCTGTTTTAAAAATATAATGTGTTAGCCTTTGTAATCTGCTTGGCATATTGACTATCGTATACTAAGCAATCAAAAATTAGCTGAATAATAGCCTCTCTTTTCCAAGTATAAAATGAGTTCTTTTGCTGAGAGGTAAAGTAGTATGTAAGAAAACTAAAGATTGGGGCTGGGAAGATGGCTCAGTGGGTAAAGTGACAGTTATGCAAGCATGAAACCTGAGTTCAAATCCCCAGCACCCACTTTAAAAAAAAAAAAGCTGGGCACAATGCCATCCACCTGTAATCCAGTGCTGGAAGGCAGAAAAACAGATCCTATGGCTTTACTGGCTAGTCAGCCTAGCCAACTGAAGAACTCCAAATTCAATGAAAGACCGTCTGAAAAAGTAAATATGCAAGACATCTGATGTAGACCTCTGGAATCACTTAGAGTTGTGAGCTGTCATGTGAGTACTAGGCATCAAACCTACTCTTAACTACTAAGCCGCCTCTGTAGCCTATTTTCTTGATTACTAACTGATGCAGGTAGACCCTACACTGGGGCTGTACCATCCTTGAGCAAGCAGTAAGCACCATGCATTTGTGGTTTCTGCTTCAAGCTCCTACCATGAGCCCCTACCCTGATTTCATTACACAATGAAGTGTAACATGTAAGCTAAACTAAAGTTTCTTCTCCAGATTGTTTTCAGTCATGTGTTTATAACAACCAAAAGCAAACTGGGGCAGAAATTATACAGTAGGGTTTTACTACAGTGGAACTGACCATGTTGTCTTTTGGAAGGACAGTGGAAATATTTGGAAGTTGGAGCTAGAAAAGCCATTTGTTGCTCAGAGCTTAATGGGCTGTTGTTTGGGAGCTTGGAAAATAAGGGGGGGGGGGATGGTATACTGGAAGAGTAAGTGCTGGGAAGTAGAGGGAAAATATATTTTTTTCCAAGATAATTTTGTTATATATAAAATCAAATAGTGTCTTTCTGATTCTTCTTTGTACTAGGAAAGTTTTACAATTGTAAATAACTTTAGAGTAGGTTAGTGAGCAGGGAAACAAAGTTGTATGTAACAGTGAAGGGACGAAAGGACAAAGGGCAGAATGAAGAACTAATGTTTCTAGTGCTCCCTTCCGCTGTTGAGCGAGAACGGTCTGGAGGAGATGAAACACTAATTGTCTTCACAGGGTCCATGTCTAGGAAGTGTCCTCCCGGACTTCTACAGAGATGAACTGGTGGGACGTAGACAGATCTATAGCTTCCCCTTTCATAGAACAAGATGTTTTCAGATCCCCAATTTATATGAAGTTAAACCTTTCCTAGAGCTTTTGTTTACAATTTAAACCAATACTTTAATAGCTTCTGAGTAAGACAAAACCCTGTGCTAAGATTGGTCAAACTATGGGTTCTAACAGTGACTCTAGCAAGCATTTGTTATCAGTCCAGAGGATACTGACCGCCATCCTTTGTTTCTCTCCTCCGCTGAGTACATCCATCCAGTCCTGAACACTGTCCCAGCCTCCTTCCCGTTCAAGAATATGACCTAACTGCACATTATCCAAGTACTCTTTCAGCACCTTTATACAAAGATAAAAGACCAAAAAAAAAAAAAATTAGAAGTTGATTATTAGAAGCTGTCCTGTCTCACCTTATTTTTTTAGACTAGCTCAGAAACTCCATGGCCAACCATTTGGAAAGCTAGGTCTCTTCAGAAAAAAAATGGTACAAAGCTGACCTGAGCTGTCAGTCTCTAGCCATACTGCTCTTGACACAATGTCTGACAGCTTAAAGGCGGGACAATATCACACAGCCATGCATAATACTTAAGCAAAGCAGCTATCTTCTTGCCACTGCCTGGAAAATTGTGACAAGGTTTGGAAGGCTTCAGATTAGGCCACACTATCTGATGTTTAAAATGACAAAGAATCTGAGTGGGGCATGCTCGGTGAATGTAGGATGTAATCCCCCTTACCTGGTCAGATATCCCCTTCTTCTTCTGATCCTCTTTTCCGTCTGGATAGATCACTTGGTCTCTCAGTGTTCCCAGGGTCATATAGGGTCGCTAGTTAGTAGTCATAATGACACAGCAAGAGTCATTAAACGTACATTTTAAAATATTAAACCAAAGGATCTTAAAAGTTACAAAATAGCTCAAAGTCTTACCTGAGGAACATAAAATAACTTTCCTCTCTCAGGTTTAGTAAGACGCCCTCCAAAAAGAGGCCATAACTATAAACACAAAGAGAAGACAGAGGTGCCTGTGAAATTCCTAACCCAAGAGTACTACAAAGTAAGACGCAAGCTCTGGAGACCAGTTTGTACATACTTCACCAAGAACACGGAAGAGGGAACTCTTTCCACATCCATTTGGCCCACAAATGAGAACGTTGGCTCCAGATCTAACCTGAAAGACAATTAAGACTTTGAATTAACTAATTAACTAAAAGAAGCATGTATATTTCCTTAGAGTTGAAGAGGCCTTTGCTAATTATTATCAATAATTTCACCTGTAAATGTGGTGTCAGCACAACTATGGAGCGATGCAGGGAAAATCCTTTTCTGCTTACTTTCAATTTTTACTAAGTTTCCTTTTTTTCTCACTTAAAAACCATTATTGATTTAGATTGTCCAATGTAGTCTCAGAATGCAAAATTTAAAAGCTTAAAAAAAATCTGAGGATTCTTTTTTTTAATTCTTTTTTAAAATTTATTTATTTCTTTATTAATTAAAGATTTCTGTCTCTTCCCCACCGCCACCTCCCATTTCCCTCCCCCTCCCCCCATCAAGTCCCCCTCCCTCATCAGCCCGAAGAGCAATCAGGGTTCCCAACCCTGTGGGAAGTCCAAGGACCACCCACCTCCATCCAGGTCTAGTAAGGTGAGCATCCAAACTGCCTAGGCTCCCACAAAACCAATAGGTGGAGTAGGATCAAAAACCCATTGCCATTGTTCTTGGGGTCTCAGTAGTCCTCATTGTCCGCTATGTTCAGCGAGACCGGTTTTAACCCAGGCTTTCATTTTGTATATTCATGTTTATTAACATTTTCAACTGCACTGCAGAGCAGATTCTTTTACTTAGAGGTCTAAATTTACTTAACAGTATGTCACAAATATTCTTCCAGGTCACTGTATTTATGACACTTTTGCCCATTCTTTTAATGACTAAAGCACACTGAGAATGTACTATAATTTATTAGAAATTCCCCAATAATTAGATATGTAGGTTATCTTTTCTTTTGCTCTTTTAGATAACACTGTGCATAACTTCTGTGTCAGCAAGAATATATATAATAAATAAGTTAAATTGTATCCTACAGACTAAGTACTGTGGAGAAAAGCTATGGAGGTCAAAGTACACCTCACTGCAAGTGACAACCGGGAAAACTTCCAGAGATGTGTTAGGAGCTTATCATGAGAAAAGCACTCCTGTCCACTCCCAGCAAGTAGGCGTGAGGACAGGAATGAGCCTCGCCTCACAGGACAAAGACTGGTTCTGTGGGGAAGACAGCAAAGACAACAGCAGAACTCACTCAGAGAGGTAAGAGGTAGGAAGAGGGGGTCTAGTCAGCAAATCCTAAAACACAGCACAAGCCAACTGAAGCCTCCTACTGTGATAAAATAGACAGCATCAGCCTTATTCAAAGTAGTCAAAGGTGGAAAGGGCCCAAGCAGATGAAGGGGCAAACAGAATGCAGTCTGTGCACACAGTGAACACCATTCAGCTTAAAAGGGAATAGACTATGCCTGTACTGAGAGCTCATAAAGGATGAGGGTAAAATCTTAGCCTACAGAAAGCCCATTTGTTTAGATATAGTGTAACACAACATGCAAGCAAGTAGGAAATGTGTGCTTTCTGATGGCCAAGTCTGCCTTATGAGGACTTTCTAAAAGAAAGGAATCCTGATTTTCAAAAGTGAGCCACATGGGCACTACTAACGAAATTAAAAGGAATTACAGGGGGCTGGAGAGATGGCTCAGTGGTTAAGAGCATTGCCTGCTCTTCTAAAGGTCCTGAGTTCAATTCCCAGCAACCACATGGTGGCTCACAACCATCTGTAATGAGGTCTGGTGCCCTCTTCTGGCTAGCTGTATACATTAAAAAAAAAAAAAAAAAAGACAGAAAAGGAATTACAGGATGCTTGTTCCATAAAGAAACTCCATGTTAAGGACAACCCTAGGAAGACAAACAAGAAAATGCCAAATCTAACCTAGAGGTAAGTCAGAAAGAGGCAGAGAGGGTATTCTTAACAGCAGACCAAGAGGACAGGAAGTCAGACAGTTTCCCATGAAAGAGAAACAGGGCCAAAGGCAGATACCAGGTGAGTCAGGAACACGTCTATAGAGGGGAAAAAAAGATTTCCTATGGCAAATCTGGGAAAACTAGGGACTCAAAAAGACTTGGCCAATGAAACTAAAAGAAAAGCAAGCAGCCGTGAGCACAGACTGAGTGGAGCTCAGGGCTGGCTGGCAGCAAGGAGAGCGGCTGCCTTAAAAGGCAGCACCCTGTGACTGAGAGAAGTGCTTTTCACCCTAGGCCTGTCAATATTTACCAACCACAGTCCAGTTTCTACCTCCTGTTATAGCTCCTGGCTTTAAAGTATGATATCGATACAATACTCACTGTGCATAACTAACATTCTCTAGTTCTCTTAGTTACTTAGGACAGTAAATATATTTAGTAAATATAAATTAGTAAGAGCAGAAAACTAAAGAATTACCTAAGATAGTAATTAAAACAAACCTAACAACATTCCTATTTTATAAGCTACTGGAAAACATTTCAGTGAAAGCAGCTAAAAAACAATCTTTACATTAAACACATATAAATACATAAGCACAATGGGTAGACACAGAGGCGTGTTCTAGAGCAAGCCTGTCCAATAGTGTTACACATGGCTATTTAAATCAAATTAAATTAAAATTAAATACAAGCTACAGCTGAGTCATCACCTGCACCTGCAAAATTAAATACATCTTTTTGTCATGGGCTTTATTTACAAAAAAATTTTAAAGATCATTTTTTCACTTGCGTACGTGCATGCCTGCATAAGTTCATGAGTACCATGTGTGTGCAGGAGCCTGCAGAGACCAGCAGAGGATGTCAGATCTCTGGGAACAAAAGCTGGTTCCCCTGTGAGAGCTTAAGTTCTAACTGCTGGCCATCTCTCCAACCAAACAAATTTGATGTGGTAGTAATCCCTGAGGTTTTAAAGTCCAGTGAATTTTAGGAAAACTGGGCTTTCTAGATGGTTCAAAGAGTTGGTTTCAAATGTAATCGTATGGGTTTATAGAGACAACTCAAACATTAAAAGTTAATTTCAATATTCAAACTTTCAGTTTCTATTTTGAAGACAATTCTAACCCTCACATGAACATTTAAAAACTTACTTCAAAACTAAGGTCTCGGATCAAGATGTCTCCATTTGGTGTTGCTAAAGGTACATGATCAAACCTGAAAACGGCATTAATAAAAAAAAGAAATTAAAAACTAGCAAGGGACTCAATACCCTCAATAACCCAACACAACAAAAGACCACTCAGACGCTTCAGAAAAGAATACACTCAGAAGACAAAATGCACCTAAAAGGTTCTCAAGCTCTCTATCCACCAGAGAAATGTAAATCAAAGCTGCAGTGACTATCACCCTGCCAAGGAGAACAGTTATCACCAAGGACAACGTAAGTGCTGGCAAGGTGCAGAGGAAAGGAATCCTTAGCCACTGCTGATAAGAATCTAATTAAACAGCAAGGGAGGAAAACAGTATGGGGATCCTTAAAAAAAAAAAATAAAGATTCAGCTGCTGTAAGTTCTCTGCTTCAGAGAGAAAATCCTACTCCAGAGGAAATAAAATACTTGTCAGCGTGGCATCTGTGCTCCCATATGCCCTGCATATTTATTCAATAAGCCAACAGGGGAAACTCCCTTAATGTCTTTCAAGTGATAAAAGGATAAAGAATACATCATATGTGTAAGCACACACTCACACAAAAGGAGTATTATTCAGCCTTTAAAAAAAAAAACTAAATCTGGGGGGCTGAAGGGATGGCTCCATGGTTAAGAGCACTTGGTTTTCTTGCAGAGGGCCCAAGTTTGGTTCCCAGCAACCATATCAGGTGTCTCACAACCACTTGTAACTCCAGTTCCAGGGGATTCAATGCCTTTTTCTGCTTCACATGTGCCTGCACAAACATGGTATACAGACGGACAAGGAAAAATCCATTTCATACTCCTCAAAACCACAACGTATTTTTAAAGAACTCAATCAGTCATTTTTGATGGTAGAGAGCATCATGGTAAGCAAAGTAAGATGGAAAAAGAAGTGTAGTTCATATATAACTTATATGCAGACTCTAAATCATTAAATTCATAGAAGAGAATGTAGTAGTCATTGCTAGGGGCTGAGGGAAGGGGACATGGAAGTGGTGTCATTCAAAAAGTATAAAAGCTTTGGCCATGAAGGAAGATGAGTAAGTTCTAGAGGTCTACCCAGCAGCAAAGGGACAACAGCTAAAAATATGCTCTACACACATTAAACGGCATATACATACACACATTCAGATGAAGAGATAAGAGATACAATAATTTGTTGGAATATGGACATTATTATAGTATGTATGTAGTATCAAAACATCAAATTATATACCTTAAACATATATAGCTTTATGTCAGTGATATCCCAAAGCTATTTAAAATTTTTAAAGAGTCCATTTTAAATGACACATGTAACTACAAGCTGAAGAGAAAGGTTGCCACGAAGTGTAACAAAGGCATAGAGCACAGCACGGCCTTTTCTGTACATACTTTATAATGTTGTCTGCATTGATGACTTCTCCAGCACCAGGTATCAAGGGGCTAACTTGAGCTCCTTCCGTACCTTAAATGGAAAACAATTATTAAAACATCATATATTAGGAAAACCTTAAAACTGTGACTGCAAACTATGATGTTTATATTTACCCTTTTCCTGTTGTGACACCATTGTGCGTTCATATTTGCCATGGTTTAAATCCTTTAGTACTTGCATTAATTCTGTAATCCGAGCCGTAAAACTAAAATTTAACAGAAACCATAATCAAAAGTCCAGGCTATTACTAAATCTTTTATATAAACTGAACTGAAGTGTCTAAAATTATAACTTAGGTTAAAGGACACAAAAGAAGTCTCATCGGCATAAAATACTAAAAATAAACACGCAAACACGCACGCCCTATTTTGCTTCAGTAAAAGAGAAAGAACAGCAAAGTCAGGGGAGAGGTTTCAGGGACCCCTCTATCAAGCATTCTTGTCAGTACACTCTGCAACCACAGGAGGCTGTGTCCTGAGCTGCTGGAGTGACTTGCTGTCACATCCAATACTTTCTCCAATAGGAAGGCTACACCAGATGCATACTGCTTCTGGTATAAATGGGGAAACTGAGACTACTTCTGCTCTCATATTCTGAAGAAGGAAAAAGCTGAAGCATTCTTAATATATGATTGAAATCATGGGACACTAGAAATCAATCCAGTGGCAAGAAGTAGGGAAATATAAGAAAGTCAATGAAGGTCAAAGAGAAGTTTTCTTATCAGAGAAGCAAAGGGAAGTATTTATTTATTTGGTGTAAATAACAAGCAAAAAGTCCCAAAAGGAAGCCTTGGGAGGTAACAGGCTCTCTTGGTGTTGATAGTTTCACATAAGCATACTTATTCTTATATTCACGAATTTTGTGTGCATTAAATATGATGTTTTTAATATGCCAATCACTCTTAATGCCCCACAAGGAAAGCTGGCACGCACAAACTTATACAAAATCTGAGGAAGTCGCTAATGAGTGCAACCCACAGCAGCTTCTCAAGAACGAGTCTTCACAGTGCTGGCTGTGTCTTGTTATGAAGACCGTAGCAGTTTTGACAGCAGAGAGAACACAGTAGCAGACACACGCCTATGAAAGACCTCAGGGTAGTAAATTTCCTTAGGCAATCCAAAGTCTGTGGTATTGTTTTCACACCCTGGTATTGTTTGAGGTTTCTGCCTTCTATTTCAGCTTCTGAGATGTTTAATCCCATTCCATGATCTAAGACAGTTTTGTATTGGGTAATATATCTATATGGTAATTGGTTAATTCCATTAAAGCAACCTCCATTTATTTAGCTAATTGGTTGGTATAAACCTTAGGGGTAAAAATCTATAGACGAGAAAAAAAACCTGCTTAAATGTAAAACTTCTGTTCTAGCTTAAATTTCCAAACAAAAGGGCTAGCAAGAATTACCATTTCCCAGCTCACCCAAGACGAGTGTCTGTGAACACAGCAAACACAACACTATCCTAGTTAAGACTCAAAACAGCTGTCTGTCATCAGGAAGCGTGAGAAGTTCACTGACAGAGAGGCCCTCCTTAATTTTCTACCAAAACCAACTTCCTAGAGAAGGAAAGATCAGTCGCTCTCTCATCTTAATCTCAACTGGGTACCAGAACCATAAGAACAATATATATTTAAAATTTATTCTACGCAATTGCTCATTATTACAGATCTTACCCGGCCAATCTAGTCATTTCACGCCCGGCCAAAACTATACGACCCAGAGCTTGAGACATTCTCAAGAGCATTCTTCCACTTTGGTAGTAATCCTTAAAAAGAAACAGTATAGGTTTTGCTCACGTTTCTACATTAAAAACACAGCCTTAATTCTGAATTTCACTTCATTGGAACACTACCTTACCTCCAGGAGCTCTGAGTGTGTGCTGTGGAGATGTCGAGGGTGTGACAGATCTAGGAAAGGACGGCTGACAACCAGGTACCCGACGACAGTGGCAATATCTGGAACAAAACAGTTAAGATCTTAAGTATCATTATTTCACTTTTCCCACAAATCTTGCCACACCATCTCTTTTAAAACATACTTACATTTGGCAATGATGCTATCAATGAAACCCATAGAAAACCGAAAGAAAATGAAATTATGTAGGTGTTCCACCTGACAGAAAACAAAAGAAAAATGTATTTTTTCTTTTACAAAAAACTAATTTTTCCTAAAGATAAAGCACAATGAACTTATAAATAGGCAGTGAGTATGGAGGACTCCTCACTGTTAATACACCCCACAATGAGCGCACACTGAGAAGAAAGCAGGTTCCACACAGCCCATCAATGTAACAACACTGACTACTTAACAACAATGTACCACACGTAACAGTAGAACACTGTTTGCCACACTGCTAGACACATATACCCAAACTTATCAGTCAGCAAAGCAAAAAGGAAGGCTGAAGAGCCATTTAAAATTGTCAGAGAAGGCAAAGCTGTAATACGGTGTTAGTGTTTGGGCTGAAAACCCCCAGGCTGAGAGAAGTGAGTGAAAAGTTGGTGTGTGGACAAGTCTTATAGAAAGGAGCTGTAGACACTCTTATTGGTGAGCACTCTAAAAACGCAAGTCATGTTAAATGGCAAAAATCCAATTTTTTAAAGAACCTGAGACAACTTTTCAGTATTTGTAAATTACGTACTTAATATCACAATTTTCCATTGAAATATTAGCCCCTGGAGGCAGGATTTCATCTGCCATGCTTACCACGTGATTATCATTAGCACCTAGTGATGGCACCCACCAAGACCCGACTTGGTACTTAATATCTTTTGAGTGAGTAAAACTATTCGAATTCAAAATTGCCAAGCAGCAAATAAAGAAAAGCTGTTTTTAAAAAGTCTTTCTATTCCAAATCAAAGGTCACTTGTGTTTAAACCACATTTTATTAGCACAGCCAGAGCCACTCACACATGTATTACAGTCCCAACAGAGCCTATATGGGAAGGAAACAAAATATATATACACTATTTTGTCCTTCACAGAAAAAGGTTGCTGACCCTTGCTCTATCAAATATTCTCTACTAATGTGTGGGAGTCAGTAACTTAACTATACATGAGACTTCTTTAGCAACTACTGCAAAATTGCACAAGACTATTTTAGTAAATCAACCCATTTTATAAATGGAGAATCTAATGTTAATATAACTGTTTTTAAAACTCATTTTCAGTTTAAAACACAGCTTAAAGACTTGCTACTTGAAATACATCTTTAACTATGTATTTATACATATGTAAATGCATAGAAAAAAACATGTGAGCCTCAAGTGTTTTGTTTTGTTTCATTTGGTTTTTCGAGACGGGATTTCTCTGTATAGTCCTGACTGTCCTGGAACTCAATCTATAAACCAGACTGGTCTCAAACTCAGAGACTTGCCTGGCTCTGCCTCCCAAGTGCTGGATTAAAGATGTGAGCCACCACTATCTGGTGACCCTCAAGTGTTTTTCTTACCAGTTTTTGGAAGACTGAGTGGATTGTCCGCTTTTCTTGTTTATTCCCATTGTAAAAGGCAATTTCTTCACTATTAAAGACAATAATAAGCAATTAATGACAATGTTGTCTCACCCTGAAGTGTAACTAAAATGCAGTGTTCAATGAGTGGACATTTATAGTTGTATGGACATCTTGGTCCAGTGTAATGTCCCAGGAGGTAAAATGTTTGCTCTACAAGTCCACCAACCTGAGTTTAATCCCCCAAACCTACAGACAGGCAGAAGCAGAGAACAAGCTCCACAAAACTATCCTCTGACCTCCAAGAGAACTCTGTAGCAGGCCCCCTGCTCAATAATAAACCAAGTAAAAATAAAGATAAATGGACATCTTGTCACTAAGAGAATATCCGGCATGAGCCAAGCCAAGGCCTGTTCTTGAGATCAGTTCCTAGCAAAGCTTCAGGAATATATGAGCACACAGCTGACTGGATCACAGACTGAACTGTAACCTGTGTGTAACCTGACATTAAAGATGCAGTGAGCAAATGCTCACTAACTGTAACTGAGGCAGAAGAGGAAGACACTTTGATATAAGGAAAGATTAGACCGGGACAGACATTACAGACCACAAGTTAAAATGAAAACCTAAACCAGAGAAAGGACAAAAATAACAGAAAAATACAAGTAGTGGTATTTTAATATGCTGCCTGGGAAAAACAGAAGAGTGAAGTCCTGACTGCGGCAGTGCCCTCGGGGCTAGCGCACCAAAGCTGTTCCTAGTCTTGCACCACACTGTTCCCGAGAGTGTGAATGGGTCCACAGGGGCCAGGAAGATCTTCAGCAGGAAAAACCAGTTCCATACAGAGGAAGAAAGGCTCAGTGTAATTAGATAAAGTCTTTAGAAGCTAGCACCTTAGAGGTGAAGAAAGGCTCAGTGTAATTAAGCACACTCTTTAAAGTCACGGAAGCTCAAATGTCACACAGAGAATGTATGTGCAGGCTGGTGAGATAGCTAGGCAGCACTTGCATGCGGGCTGACAACCTGACTGCCATCTCTGAACTCAGGGTGGCAAGAGAGAACTGAGACCTCCACACTGTTATGCTCCTGCTTACACAGTCTATGCATGCGGTCTAATCAAGGTGCACACCTAAAACCTCAATATTCAGGACACTAAGGCAGGAGAATTGGAAGTTCAAAGCCAGCCTGGGTTACATGGTAAGAAAAAGAGAGAAAATAAGATCAATGAAAAAATAAGGTCATGGAAAAACGGAAGAGAGAAGAGGAAGGGAAGGGAGGGAAGAGAGAAGAATCTTCTAAAGAACTAAGAAGCCGTTTCTCCTTTTCATTTCTGGCAGTGAAGCCTGGGGCTGCTTTTGCCATTCTGTGACCACAAGAGTCAAACTATTAGGAAGGGGTATGTGGTGGTTTGAATAGAAATGGCCCCTAGAGGTCCATGGGGAGTGGGACAATTAGGAGGTTTGACCTTATTGGAGTAGGTGTGGCTTTGTATGAGAAAGTGCATCACTAGGGGGTGGACTTTGAGGTCTCAGAAGCTCAAACCAGGCCGAGTGACTCAGTCAGTTGCTTTTTGCTGCCTGCGGATCCAGATGTAGAATTCTCAGCTAACCCTCCAGCACCATGTATGCCTGCATGCCACCATGCTTTCTGCCATGACAATAATTAATTAAATTTCTGTAATCCAGCCCCAATTAAATGTTTTCCTTTATAAGAGCTGCCATGATCATGGTATCTCTTCACATCAATAGAAACCCTACCTAAGTCAGGGTGGTATGCAAGGCAGGACAAAGCAAGAGAATAACCAGCAAGAGTCATAACTCCAATCCTACTGTACGTACCCTTGACTGCTCTGTCCTAAGAACACAGACAATGTCTCTACTATGGAAGCATGTTTGTTTTCTAGTAAAAGCATCCTGTAAACAGCTTTTTACTAATTATACCCATTATTCCCCTGCCTCCCTAGAGCATGAAACTCCACTGTAGTAATAGGCGCAGCAGGGCTGCGTCCCTGGCACCTGGCCGCCCACATGGCTAGCTTATGCCCCGAAATAATTACATGGAAACTGTATTCTTTTAAATACTGCTTGGCCCATTATATCCAGCCTTTTCTCGGCTAACTCTCACACCTGGACTAGCCCATTTCTAATAATCTGTGTAGCCCACGAGGAGGCTTACCAGGGAAGACCTTAACCTGCGTCTGTCTGGAGTGGGAGAATCATGGCGACTCCTTGACTCAGCTTCTTTCTTCCAGCATTCTGTTCTGTTTACTCCGCCTATCTAAATTCTACCCTATCAGAGGCCAAGCAGTTTCTCTATTACTTAACCAATGAAACAACAGATAGAAAGATGACCCTCCTCCATCACTCCACCATATAAAATATGATTTTAACAAGGAAGCAAGGGAAGAGGACACCATTTTTTTGTACAGTAACCTACATAGTATTACATAAATACTAGGACCTTCAAAATTGACTTCAAGTTGGCAGATGGATACAAGAAAATTTATAGAGCATCCTAGATCCTGATCAAAACCTAAGCCAAAACCATATATGTAGAGTCAATCCTCCTAACTTCATTATCTGTCTACAAGAAAGCGAAGCTATGAGTAACTTGCTAAAATCATGTAATATAGAAAGAGTTGATAAGTAGAAAGGGTAGATCTTGAAACTATTATGGATGGCTTCAATGCCTACTTTTTTTTCTTCTTCCTACTTTAGATCTCAAAACTGTCCAGAGGTCTAAGGGCATTACCTCAATGTAAGGGTACCTGCCTGCATTCAAGAGACACTGCAGTTCAATTCCTAGTACCCCTTCTCCCCACAAATCACATCTGAAAACACAATTACCAAGTACTGCAAAACAGTCACAACTTTAAAATGTCTATAAGTTAAAGCAAAAGTTTCCTTGAATAAATACAAACAAACTTGAACTATATTATGACTAAATTTTAAAGTGAATTCATAGAAAATGAATAGATAGAAGATATGAAGAGGTAAATCAAGGAAACTACACAGCTAACAGAAAGAGTAGCTGGAACATGCAGGATTCTACTTTATAAGACTAATATTCTTCATAATGCTTATTTTCAAAATAAGTAAAAGCTACAGTTTTAGTAACTGTATTGTTAGACTTTTAAGTCAATATAAATGACATCAATATCCACAAGAAGAAATTTCCATTATGGTTTTCCCTTACCTATTTGTGATAAGTCGAGAATTAACGTATCTATATTCTCCTTCATACTTCTGCTCTGTTATTGTCATCTTGCCGATGGGCCTTCTGAGTCGAGTTAGGAATAGTCCAGAAACAAGCAAGTAGGCCATCATGCTTGCTGGTCCCTATGGTTAATGAAAGAGAACGATGTACAAAGCTCAAGAGCATGGTAATAAAATCCATATGTAGAACGCCTGTAAGTAACAGACTTTGAGAGAAGCTGAGCCTTTATTTTTCTTTCTGGGAAATGGAATGCTAGTCTCGATCTTCCTATTACTATCATCCACCACAACTCCTGTAGCTCCCCTCACGAACAACTGTTCACGTAATCCGCTCACGAGACTCTGTCATCTAGCACTCTTCCACTGCAACCATCTTAATGCTCTCAAGTCTACAGGAATTCTCGGAGCTCATTTTCATAGTCTACCTGAATGTTATTATTCCTTAGGTTCCCTCCTCAGCTCTCATCTCATCCTGGATTTATAGCTAGGCCCATCACTTTTAGGGTAGAAGATATTATTGCCAAATATGTGCCAATCCCAACAGCTACAGGGGTCTCGAGTACAATTCCTTAAACAGCCTCTCCCTGCTTGTACACTAAGTTTTAGCCTTTAATACTTTGAATGAATTTTGAAATTTATGCCCTGGCAAATGCTGAAGCATTCATGGGCAGCCCACATATGAGTTCTGCTGACTTGTCCATATTGGGATTCATGCACTAGATTGATGAGGCCCTTTACAACTCTATAAATGACCTCACAGTCCACTGACCATCAAGCTGTAACCAGTTCCCAAACCACCCTTACTTCCTATATATCTCTCATGTTCAGATCAAATTTGCCCCAATCAAAACTGTTCTCCTGAACATGCAACCCAGTGGGGCTATTTTTATATTTGATAAGCTTAACATCTAAGTATCAAAACAGTTAAATGTCAGCTACAATTCTTCTAGGCACTAAATACTTCCCTGAAACGTCCACTAGTGGATATTTCTCAATGTGTTGTAATTGCCTGAACAACTACTTCCTTAGCCATTGCTAATTTCCCTTCGGCAGGAACTGACTTGCCTTTTATGGCTAGTACAATGTATATGAACATATGCACAAAGAGTTTTCAAAATTGTACCTGACTGATTCAATGCACTTCAATAAAAACAGCACATGAGCAGAGGTGCCAACTGTAATTCTAAAATGCTGATGCAGATTTGTACATATTGGTACGAAAAAATACAAGAAATATCAATTGCAGTATAGAGATTAGAAACATTAGGACTGTTCACTCTTGTGATGCAGTCATGTAAAGAATCACAGGGTAATACAGAGAAAAACAGGAAATTCAAATAACAGGAAAGCAATAAAAACAACCAGGCAAATTATAAATTAATCACAAAATGAATGTAAAGACACATATACATAGGGACATAAAATCAAGTTATATGGTTTATTATAAATATATAATAAATATTAATAATTATTCAAGTTAGACATCAATGAAACTCAGAAAGAAAGATTCTTGTCATCACAATTATCAGAGACAAGAGGAAAAGGCTCATGGACTGACTAGTCAATAATTTATCATTATGAAACACTCCTGAAATGAATATTTTCATTCTGAGCATATTGCTGATCTTATTCTAACATTTTATTAAAAGTATTTGTTGCCAAATATCTCTTTAGACATTACTTTAGAACAATAAGTACATGTGCATTCAATGTATGTAGTGTGTGTTTAAGTATTGCCAAAAAACGATTTAAGTAATTTAATAGACATTAAAAAGCCCAATTAGGACACTTTTTAAAGCCTCCATTATAGTATTAGTTTACAGCAGGTCGTATTAGGTAGAATGTGAAGATGTCCTCAAGGTTGATTTTTTTTTTCCTTAGTCCTTCACAATGATCACAACACAGTACTGTAGATTTTAAAATGTAGAGCAGGAGTAGCAATATGTCTCAGTGGGTAAAGACACTTTTTGCCAAGGCTGAGCTTAATACCTGGAACCCTACAAAGTGGAAGGAGAATATAAAACTCCTACAAGTAGTCCTGTGACCTCCGTGTGTGTGTGTGTGTGTGTGTGTGTGTGTGTGTGTGTGTGTGTGTGTGTACATGTGCAAAAAATGCATCCAAACATGAAAGAATCAAAGTGGACTCACCTGAGCTCCAATCGCACTTGTTAACTTGAAAATATATAAAACTATATCTAAAAATGGCTGTAAAATAAACATTAGAATAGACAGAATTAAATCTCTTGAAATGGAGATATCCCAAACAATGACTACTGAGCATCAAGTGGGAGAATCACCCATTAATAACACAGTAATATAAAGACATTAAACAAAATTACTTGAGTTATAATTCCAAATCTGCTATTTTTCTGATTTTGATATAACTTCATCTCTAAAATGAGAGGGTCCTTCTTCTGTAATACAGTTTGAGCCTATTACTTTATTATAACAATGACATAAATGAAATAATCAAGTGAGTCATATGACATAGTCTTATGAATCTATGAACTTATTTGATGATACAATTCTAAAGTTTCAACACATTAAAGTACTGCTACTCACTGAGAACAAATTCAACCAGTGTTCTGACAGTGACATGTACTTTAACATTTTCAAGGAACCCAAAATGTGTTCATTTATTTGAAGTCTAAAACATGAGTACTAATACAAATGGCTTGCTTTATAAACTGGCTCATACAAAGATGTATCTTACCCTTTCTCTTTGTCCTGCATATTATTAAGAGCTTAAACTATTTTTAAAATTCAATTCAAATATATGTAAAGGTTACTGGCCAAAAATAATGTTCATAATTTACATCAGGAATTAAATTGATGTTTAAAAGAGAGAATGCACTACAGTGCATAGAAACAGTATAATTAATTTTAGAACATTTCTCTATTACGACTATGACACTTTACAAACTGCAGATTTGCTCAAGTGCTAAGAGGAAAGAATATGTAATAGTTTCTATACAAAATTAGCTCCATAGATCTATTAATATACTGAAGAGAGAGGTGCTAGGGAAATGGCTCAATGGATAAATTGCCATGAAAGCCTGACCATCTAAGTCATGATCTCCAGAACACGGCAGCACAAGCATCTGTAATCCCAGCATGCCCCTCTCTGGAGATAGGAGAATCACCAGAAGCTTGTGGGCTAGCTAGCTTAAACACAATAATGAACATCAAGAGAGGTGCTATCTCCAATACAGGTGGAAGGTAAGAACTGTCCTCTGCCCTCCACTTGCATGCTGTGGCCCCTGCATACATGAATACATTCGACACATGCATGTGCATGTGCATGCACACACACAGTTACTTTTTCACATAGAATGATACTGAAGAAGAGAAACAGGAAATCTCATCTCATTTTATGGATGTGTAATTGGAAATACAAACTGAAAAGTCAAACCTGTATCAAGTCTAGAAGAAAAGAGGGAAGGAGATCCTTTGGCTGAAATCAGTCCACAAAATTCTTACAGAACTTTTGTGAGGCACTAATTTCAATTCTAAGCCAAATACTTCACAGAAATAAGATTTTTAAATTAATTATATAATTAAAACAATTATAATTATCCCAATTTTCTTTTAAAAGAATTATCTATACACTACTCCCTTTTACCCCAATCAATTCCATATAAATTTGCTCAGATTCAAAATTCAACAAATTTAACCAAAAATTTTTAAGTAGGTAAACTTACCTTACTAAGATTTGAATACAGATCAACTACACTGTTACAAAATTTTTCTACATCTTGTGTAAGCAGCTGGTCTGGATTTGCTATTCTGTTATCCAGGTTGCCCATTTTATAATAGGTGAACGCTCTGAAAGGGCAATTAAAGTGATTTCAGAACAAGCAATTACGGAAACCAGGCATTCATATCACACCACCCTCTGCATAAACACACAAACATACCAGTCTAGACACTCTAAGAACTGTCCTAACTTACGTCAGCCATGGGGAAGCAAGCCCGGAAGAGGGTGATTTGGTGGCTGATAGGAGAGCTAGGACTAGAGCCCCATCACTCCTCCCCATATGCACATAGTCTAAGACATTTTCTTGAAAAACAGTCCAGTAAACAAGAAAACCGTGTGCTACCATAAGCACTACTGTCCAGTTGAAGTATTAAGAGCGTCACTTACTGAAGATACTCCTCATAGAGGTATCTGGTGAGCCTTACTCGGAAGCACAGTTTGAGCTCATTTAACCCATACTTCAAGAAGTTATTAACCAGAGAGATCTAAAACAAACAAACAAGCATTATCGGTTTTGCTTCAACTTCTACTTACTGAATTGCAATTTACTTCTCTATCAGTTTCTGTATCTACAAGTTCTGATGATCTTCACTCATAGGCAATACTGTAATTCAGTTCTGTTTTGTTTATGTTTTATAAAATGCAAAAGTAATAAGCTAAGTTGTGTATATTTAATTACCCTATAACTTGGAGCTTAATTTTTAAAACATTATGAAATCCCTTCTGGGTAATCAAATATGCAAACCTTTCCAATTTCTACCTGAAAGGAAGTTTATAAGTTCATAAACTTGTATTTCTACATTTGCTCCTCTGTCAACACTACCACCTAGAGGGCAAGTGTTAGTCACATGCCATGTGTCTTAGTTTTCAAAGTGTGAGTTTTATGTTACTTCCCAGATTATTCTAGAACCACTTTACTAATCTATCCCACCATTAAACCAATCTGTTCACAGTTCTGTTTAAACCCATTTTATTAAAAATGTTTCCACATCGTGCTTCCAATCTTAAGTTTTTAATTGAAAAGGTCTAAAACTTACGCGTGCCCATCCTCAAATACTAAACTATAGATGAATTAGATTTCACAAGCAAATTCCTCTTTTCTCCTTCCAAATATGGACATTAAACGTCTTATAGGGCCAAGAAAATAAAAATAAAAACCAAGGTAAGAAAATCATTTGAGTTTTAGCCTAAACTAATTTCTAAGTAAACTCAAATAGACCAGTTTAACAGTGGTTCAAGTTGCAACTGTTTATGTTTTCAATCAATATCCTGGGTAGTCTGCCCATCTTACTCCCAATTTCACAGCCTGGAAATGTTTTCAGTTGTTCCAAGTGGGAGAGAGGTGCTATTGCCATTTACCAGAATGTGGTTAACACTGGAGAAAACCTGGTCAGGAGAGAGTTGAAAGGAAAAGAGGGAGAGAGAAACAAAAAGGAGAGAGAGAAAGGGGAGGAAAGTGTGGGGGGGAGGCAACAACTAGAAAAAAGGAGAAAGAAAAACAACATACATGTGTGTGTATATATGTGTGCTATATTATACACGCACTAACATTTTTAATTTTCAATTAAGTATAAAGGTTTACACTGAAAAATTAGGATATAAACCATACAAAATTTAACACGAAATTAGAATTTAATACCACAAATCTTTAAAGTTAGTAAGGACAAATTCAAGATTTAGTGAGGTGCAAAGTTCGCACAAATAAGAGTTCTAAAGAAATGCACTTACAAGAGGCATGGCAGCGATGAAGTTGAATAAGTATCTCTTGAAATCTTTACTGTTACGACCAATGATGCCACTGCAAACCACCACATGCAATGCATTAGTTGCAAAAGAAGTTAAATGTAACATTAGAAAGCCTAGAGCCCTAAAATCATTCTTGGGAATTTCTACTGAATCATTAAGTAATTAAGAAAAAAAGTCTTAGAAAAAGGTTCACAAGTTTTGAAACCTTTTAACGGCTAGCTTAACCTTGACCCTGAAGATGGTAAGATGAAGCAAAAACAGCAACCAAGGGCTACAGATGTACTCAAGGGGAGAACTGTAGAACCTGTGCTTAGTTAGCATATGCAAGGCTCTGGGTTACAGCACCCCAGAATTCTGGGACATTACAGACAAACCAGAGTAGTATTTGCTTGCTTTAAATATTTTAGCATCCTTGATTTTCACTGGAATGAACTAATGGCAGTAGAAAGAGTAAGAGGGCTACCTCAGCCGCTTGATAGGGGAGAGGTAAGTAGTGTAGGCTTTGTGGTCCTAAAGTTCTTGTTGCAACTACTCAATACTGTCACTCATGGAGTATAAGTAATCTAAGACAGCCTGGCCAGACTCTAGTAAAGTTTCAAAAAAAAAAAAAAATGAGGCTGAGTGTGGTGGTGCACACCTTTAATCTCAGCAATCAGAAGCTCAGAAGCAGGCAGATCTCTGTGAATTTGAGGCCAGTCTGGTCTATAAAGAGATTCAGGTCAGTCAGGGCTACATACTGAGACCCTGTCTTTTTTTTGAAAGGAGGGTAATGAGACTTCACTTGCAGGTTCTGGTTGGCCAATCCTGGGACTGGCTGACACACTAGAGAAGCATCAGAATCAGTCTATAAAAGCTTTAGGTCCCTAACTCAGTTCAGCAAAATCAGCTCCTCTTTTATCTGCTTTTGGTCTGTTTTATGTATTTATCTGCTTTTAAAATACATACTTCAAAAGAATCTAAAAGAAGGGCTCTACTGCTTTATTTAAGAGTTTGAAAGCCAGGAGTGGAGAGATGCCTCGGCAGTAAAGAGCACTTGCTCTTCTTGCTGAGGACCTGAGTTTGGATCCCAGCAGCCACATGGCAGCAATCAACTGTCTGGAGCTCTCTTCCAGCCTCTGCGGGTACTAGGCATACATGTGGTACACACACATTCATGCAGAAAATCCATAAACATAAAATAAAAATAAATCCTAACAAGAGTTTGAAAGCCATTATGATGGTAGTATACTATGCATGTGTATTTTTTAAAGAGGTAAAATGTGTGATCACAGAACTTTCTTTTCAGAGAAATATGTATGCATACACATATGTATGTCTGTATACATGTACACACACACACACATTCTCTTTTTTGGAGAAACATGGCAGCAAACAATTGGACTAGATCTCCCAACTACCTGACTAGAATGTGATAAGGAAGTAATTTACTTTTTATGAGGGAGTAGGTAAATAAATTTGGAGAAATCTGGATTAAACAAAGTTATTAAACATCTTTACCAAAGATCTTCTCAAAGTCTTTTACAGCATGCTCTATTTCTTAACAAAACTTTTAGGAAATGTTACCTTATACTAATGGAAAAATAAAATAGGCAATTTTTTTTTTTTTTTTTGGTTTTTCAAGACAGAGTTTCTCTGTAGCTTTGGAGCCTGTCCTGGAACTAGCTCTTGTAGACCAGGCTGGTCTCGAACTCACAGAGATCTGCCTGCCTCTGCCTCCCAAGTGCTGGGATTAAAGGCGTGCACCACCACCGCCTGGCTAAAATAGGCAATTTTCTATAAAGAAATAGTGGTCTTTTTAAAAGCTAAACTAGAAGGGAAAATGGAATAGTACTGTAATTCTACTTGAAATATGAAGCAATTAGGACAGTGTAAAAAAGCTTCTAAGTTTCAGTTAAACTGAGTCAAACTACAGAAAACCGAAGTGCTTTTGCGCTGCCCAAGCTGTGAGGCACTTGAAACTATGCATAACATTTGGTACAGCACATGCCATCCATCACTGTGCAGGGTTTACCAATGGAGTAGCTGCTATAAATTTAAAAAATGGTTCCTTGAATAAAGCCACACTTCTGCTTATTATTCCACTGCAAAAGAAAAATAATTAACAATGAGTAATTCAGTCACTATTACTCCCCAAGACATACGGACATTTATGAAAGACTGTTTGGTACTTTAGAAATAATGCCTATAACAAACAGATGAAACATAAATGCATCTTTATGGCTGGATAAAGCAGCCACAGTTAAGAGGGTCCTCTTCCACACTGTGGCATCACTAGTTTCTACCTTACAACGTCTGGCCTATTACAGTTTGCTCATTCTACACACGTTTTGGCCGTTACTAACAAATAAGTCCTGCATATGAAATGCAGCGCATTAAAGACACTAACAAAGCTCCTGGAAACTCTAAACCTACTCAGAAGAGTCAAAAAGGAAAAATGTAACTTTAATAGAGACAAAAATGTGTTATTTTTTTAAATAAAATTGTCCTATAATATTTAAACTATTTTAAACTAAACAACTCATAAATATTTGTATTTAACCAACTGTCAAAGTCCCATACATTACTGAAGCTCAAGAAGAGTACTGCAGAGGAAGCCATCTCAGTTACTTTCTCTGTGAGAAATGCGAGAGAGAGAGAGAGAGAGAGAGAGAGAGAGAGAGAGAGCGAGAGCGAGCGCACACAGGGCTACTACTGAAACCTCAAAGCCCATGCTCAGTGAAAAATGATTAAAATTTTTATTTTATTTTAGGCAGGGTCTTGCAATAGAGTACAGGCTAGCCCCAAATGTACAATCCTCCTGCATAGTCTCCTTAGAGCTGGGATTACAGGTGTATGCCATCACACTCAACTCCTAAATAATTGTTTTAAATAAAACAAAACTTCAAGAAAACCTGTAGAAAACAATTTTTAGCTTCACAATTAGATGCAAAACTAGACACCCAGTAGTCTGACTATTACAATTATAAATTGGCTCATGTCCATCATCATTAATTGAATTATGTACCTACTCTCAGCAATTCATTTTCCATGTTACTAAGTATGTAAGAAAACCAATAAAAAATAGAAATGTCTAGTACATAAAAATTACTATTTTGGACTATAGAAGAATGAATTTATAATATCGGAAAGGAAAAAACTTTAAAAACACAATTTTCCATCTTATTCTTTAAGAGATAAAGTAATATTCAATACTGTATCATTTTATACAATTCTATCCAGATACTTAACATAATATTTATAGTAGGCATAAATTATATATTTTCACCACACACAAATGCAATATCATTTGTAAAAACTGTAACAATTAGAGAGACACTTGAAATTAAAGATAAAATTATCAGAGAAAAACATGGAATTTTACAAACCATATGGAATGTTAGAAATGTCTTCTGTGCATCTATCATACAAAGACCTCAAATTACTTGGGCTTACAACTTATATAAACAGAGCATGCGCACACTTAAGACTCCTACAGGCATCCTCCAAGGGAAATCAGATGACCAACACTGTTTTCTAAAGCAATCATTCCTAACTGTGAATTCCCAGTCAAGAGCCAAAAGCTGCTTGAGAAAATCTTTTAACAAACAAGGACCAGTAAGGACACAGAAATAATACTGGGAACTAAATGACAAAACAAACAAAATAACTAAGAAAAAAAGATAATAGCTTTAGAAATGAAAAAAAAATGAAAGAATGACTACTATAAAAATGCAAAAGATGGTTCTTGGGAATAAAGTTGTATCAAAAACTCTCTAGAAAATAAGTGTGGAGAATTTTTCTAGTAATAGAATTAAAGCGTCAGACATGACAGGTAGTGAAAACTTCCTGCAAATTAGAATCACCTGGGCTATCTCAGCCAGTGTGAGGCCTAGGCATCGGCAATGCTTAAGACGTGTTGTACTGATGCTTCTACATCTGCAGTCAAGTTGAGAACTAGAAGCGACAGAGTGAGATCTTCAAAAGCTAATGACAAATGATTTTCAAACTGGAATGCATAAACACAGCTCAAACACTGACTGAGTGGGAACATAGAAGACATTTTCAGAACCACAAGGTCTCAAAATTTTACTTTCCTTGGCCTGTTCTTAGAAAAAGACTGTGTCTACCAAAATGAAAAAGTAAACAGGGAAAATAGTAATAAAAAATTCAGGCACACAGAAAAACTACAGAGGCATGGGGTGGGGTAAAAACAGGGATATAAAATTAGCTTGCCTGGTGTGCTCGGCAATAATTACATTAGGTGTGCTGTGGAGATTTTACAGTACTCTGAAAAACCTCGAGCTGAGTCAGAACAGTGGGCAAACAAAAACCTGTAACTAATAAATGGCAGGACAAACAAGATGCTTTCAGAAGAGCAACTACCAAAACACAGCCTGCCCTTGGCTCCCACAATACACAGTATCCCATAACCAGTAAATCCGGACAACCAAACAGAGAAGGAGACTGAGGAGAACAGCAAAAGCGGCTGCTCTCCTTCCAAAGAAGGGACGAACACTCTAAATCCACGTGGCCTACCAGAAATGCACATACATTCAGGGAGATCCCTGTTGAGTCTGAAAGCCTAGATAATTGACGTATACATGTTACAAAGGGCTTTTATCCCTTCTTCACTTTCCTTCAGAAATGAGTCAAAAAATAAGGACATAAAGCACATTTCCTACAGATCAAGGATCTAAATAAAAAAACAGCATTTTAAGAGATTTCAAAAGTTTGGATACATTATCCAAAAAGTTACCTTAGATTATGTATTTTAATACATAGCCAATAAACATTCTATACTACAAAAAAGAATTCCAATAAAAATCTTCACTTTGTCATTCATATTATAATAGTAGTTTAAGAATTAATGAGTATTACAACAACTTGAGAGATTCCCAATGGCCATTTTCAGTATTAAATCCAAAATTTTCAATTGCAGTGATTAAGACATGTCAGAAATATAATAAAAACCATGAAAAGATTAAGTTTAGAATCAGAAAAGTCTTTTTCTATTCCTATTAAAAACAAAAAGGCAAACTCTATATGCCTCACCAATTTGGCACGTTCTTCCAAATTACTTTATTAATTTTAGACACTGGCTACTTGCCTGCTCTTTTAAGCTTCAATAATAGCACCTGTTACACTGCACTTTAGTTTCTGGCTTGTCTGCACTCCTTTACACACTGTCAGCTCCGCAAGGCTTGGGACAGAATTTCTCCTGTTCACTGGTACACATCCCTGCCATCTTGTACCTGATACACAGGAAATATTCCAAAAACTGTTTATTTAAATGAACAAACACATGACTAGACTTCAATGTATTTACCTCTTTTTTTTTTTTTTTGCTTATAATGGCAATGCTTAAATACAAGGCAAGCTACTATTTCACAAATAAAAGAAAAAGGTGAATGAGCAAGTACCTTTCGATGAGAGTCCCATTTTGAATCATCCAAACATCACAGTATGTTCGAGAGACCAGCATAACAGCAATAAGTATTAAGTAGCCTGTCTAAAATAAACCATATAGAGTAAACTAAATGTATTTCAGAATGTTAAAAGAAACAATAACTTGGTGAAGTTTTTGGTTTCAAACTTCTGAGTTTTATTCTAACAATATTTGTTTATATTTTATGTATATTTTATCTATAATAAACTTTAAATAAAGATTAAAAGGAACTTAAAATTATACCACACAAAAAAGTCAACAGTGGAAACTGGACAAGTAATTTAAGATTACCTGGCTTGGTAATTTGTGATTTCCAATTTCTTTTTAATATACTACTTTAATAAAGAAAACTAGTAATAGTTACTGTGTTAACTAAACAATTAACAAATACTGAAGCTTAACGTTTTGTACAAGTTTAATAAATGAGGTTTAGCTTGTTAAATAAAAAGTCTCTAACACTGTCCGGGTTCCTTAGGGCTTTCAACTTGAGCATTTAAGGCAAGAGTTAAACATAAAAAGCAACAAAGTTAGTCAAAAGGAGTTGTGAGAGTTTGTGGAAGTGAGAGGACAGGAAAGGCTAAAACAGCAAAAGTACTGTGGCATGGGAAATCATTACACAGACTAAGGGAACAGGAGAGGATGAAGGCTAAGGCAGGAAAAGATTAAAACCACATGGAGCATGAAGGTGTGCTGACCCAGCAGATCCAGAAAACATAAATCATCACAAGCGTCTACTAGGTAAGCACGTGTTAAAAAGTGACGAGCAGGGAATGGTTACATCAGCAATACAGGTGCTAACTTAGAGACACATTTATAGTCTTCTTTACTTACACAGAGAACATCTTACCTGAATTGCTATGACTTATTGTTCTGGGTATGGTAAGTTAAACATATAGTATTATAACTTCAGAAGACTTACCTCTTTACAAAATGTTCTAGGTACCATGATTTTCAGGATCCGTGAGAGCCTTGATAAAAACACTCTGTCCACCACAGCTCGCTCTTTCTTTCCTTCTTTCTACATTTAGAGAGGAAATGGACCATTTTAAGATGATAACTGCATCAAATGCAGTGATTACAGAACCGCATTTAAATTAGTTGCAGTAGCGCACAGTGATTGCAGAGTATATTTAAGATAGCTGCAACAAATGCAGTGATTACAGGGCCACATTTAAAATAGTTGCATAGACAAGTGTTAAGATGGACAGATGAATTTAGAGTGCACACTTGAGCAGCTCTGCAGATTCAGACAGAGCCCAAGAAAACAGAATTACCTAAAAGGTGAAAAGAGATATGAGGTGTGCTCCGAGAGAAGAGCATAATCAAATAAAAACCAGTGGGAATAAACAGGGAAAACAAAATGAGTAGTGTGGATGAAGCTCTAAGTGAACAATAAAGTCAAGTATTTACTGACTTATATTTGCAGTGACTGGTATTGAAACAAGGGCCTTATGGTAGGCATGTACCCCATTACCACTGTCCTACAACCCTAGCCTACACTTCTCAATAAATAGAAACTTTTTTAAAATCCCGAACAAGATTTTTTTCTAATTTAAAGAAACTTCTGCAAGCTCCCAACACTGTGGAAGTAGTTCAAGGCCAGCCTAATCTACAAATAGAATTCCAGGACAGCCAGGGCTACACAGAGAAACCCAGCCTAGAAAAACAAAACAAAAACAAACCCAACCAACCAACCAACTCACCCCCATCCCCCCCCCCCCAAAAAAAAGGAAAAAAAAGAGTCTGGGTTACTAGATTTATCACTGGGTGGGAGTTAACAAAAAGGATTGTTTTTAAATTGATGCTCCTACTGTTGATCTGCCTGGCTTTAAGGAGAATAGCATTCAGTTCATTCTGATTGCAAACATTAAAACACACAAGCTGAACTCAGGTCACCCCACCACAAGGACAGTCAAGGTCATAGCTCCTATGCTATAATAAATCACAGAAACTTCATCACACTCTTTTTACCTTGCAGGTTAACTAAGTAATATGAAAAGGTGATTTTTTTTAAACTTACAAGTACAAGTACTAGGTTAACCTCGAGATACAACTATATTCTAAGAGAACTATTTTAAAGGAATGGATCCTTACAAGACCAAAATAACTCATATACTATGAGGTTAGTTTAGCTCTCTTCTTTCTTCTTCTTCTTTCAACAAATGTTCTACCATGATGTTTCAATAGCAAGGCTGATGCCATGAATATGAAAGCTGCTATTTGCACAGTACTACATCTAGAACCTGGGGAGGCCAATCAGACAGAATTGGTGCCAGTATAATGAGATGATCAGGTGACATCACTACCCAGTGCGGTGCAGCATCAAGACTCCATTAAGTTTCTGTTTTCTTGATGATCAGAAGTCCCATGTTGTCTCCAGTCTCTTCATTATGTTTTCTGTGAGCCCCATGACAGAAAGGGAACTTTTTGGACTTCCAGTGGCATCAGTGCATGGCTCATCTCCAAGGCACGCACAATCCTGGGGTTGTCTTTCTGGACCTGAAGGTGCACTATAGCTTTGGTGTGATGGTCTTTATAAAACTTTCTGAAGCCAGGTAACCAAGGATAGCTGTTTCCACAGTAAATGTGGCCGCAATCAACTGGCACAGCTGAGCTGGAGCTGAGGAACATGGTGTGGGCGGCAGGGAGATTGGCAGAACCACTCAGACAGGAAATGGGGACTGTAGAGACCCATATGGGAAAGACACGACCTCAGGGCCCACTTAGTACCACCAATAATTTTAAGAGAGTGGTAACCACCATTCAACTCTGTGATGAATATACTAATAACTGACTTGCACACTTAAATGATGACCTTTAAAATAAGGATTATAAAGCTACTATTTTAAAAAATCAATTGGTTGCCAGGCAGTGGTGGCACACGTCTTTAATCCCAGTATTCGGGAGGCAGAGACAGTTGGATCTATGAGTTCAAGGCCATATAGAACTTGAACTCTCTGGAATACAGAGAGAGTTGTTACAAAGAAATTCTGTCTTAAAAAACATACAAACAAAAAAACTGTAAAAGAAATTCAGTTGGTAAATATACAAATAGAGATCTGTTATCAGAGATATCATCAAAAGATACCTAAAGATTATAATTTGCCAATAACTTAATGTGAAAAAGTTATAAATAAATAATATTAATGTTAGGCTGAATATTAGCAATATGATATTTACACAAAGTAATTTAGCAATGTTGATGTATTTGATGCTAGTTAAACCTCCTTTGGGTAACTGTATTCTATTTTAAGCATGTCTAAGGAATTCTAGGATAAGTCCAGAAGCGTGTATCCAGAATTTTAAAAAGATAAAAATGATGTTATAAATATCTGAAGAAAAAGTTTCTCATCATAGTGTTACACATATGCTAAATCCTACACTTAGGAGGCTGATGTAGGAGAATAAAGGGTTTAAGGCCATCCAAGACTATACAGATAGTGAGACCCTGTCTCAATAAAAAGAAGAAAAACAAAGCTACACGGGCAGTGAATCTCATCATCTAATAATAGTCATAATAAAAATAAAAGTCAAAATAAATCTAATAATAGTCATAACTGCCTCTTTACAAGAGTGCTTTCCATGAACAGATACTAGGAGCAATTCTAGAAGACACTAGGTGGGACTCTTTAAAGAGAAGTCCTATAGTTCTATATATCCTGAAGGTTGGAAGTGATTATTTTTAAAACTTCATTCTAAAATTCTGACTTCAAAAATTAACTAAATAATACAAACCATCCCCAAAAGTAGACTTAAAATCCTTACCTCATTGTTTCGTAATGGTGGTTTTCCACTTTTCTTACTGCAAAGGAAAAATAAAAGAGCTTTACTTTACTTGGTATATGCTTCCATAATTAAAATTATTCTAAGATGTCAAAAAATATATCAAATTATCCAGATGGTTGTTTTCTTTTTATTCATAACCTAGAGAGGTGAAATTCATTAATAATAGTTCAGTTGCTTTTTTACAGGTTGAATGTCTGCTCCATGAAATGCTTGGGCCCAGAAGTGTTTCAGATTTCATAGTTTTTCAAAATTTGGAATATCTGATACATAAACTTTACTACATGCAATAATCCAGGCTGCTCAAAAAGTTTCATTATTTCAAATAATTTTAGGGCAGACATGTTTATTTTGTATTAAGTATCGGTTAGAGAAAGTAATCACTAAATGCTAGCTTACTAGTATTATGAACAAATGCTGTGTCTGTGTGCGTATGTGTGTAAAGTCCCATACATCATGCCTACTTTTTCCTATAAATCTTCCCACGGAATGGTGACAGTTTACCTCCCCATTCTTGAATCAAAGCTTTGCCTGAGAGGGCCTGTGACTGAGCTTCCTTTTATCCCTGTACCCCATCTAAGCTCCCAGGCTATTAGATGGTGCTTCTTACACTCAGGACTGGTCCACCCACTAGTGAATCTCCTCTAGACACACTCTCATAGATAGCTCCGGACTCTGTATTCTATGCAGTTTCTCTCCCAGTCATGCTGACAATTGTGATAGTCATCATACTAGAAAAACCTTTCCGCCTGTGTCCTCCCATACGCTGCTCCAAATCTACACCCTCAATCACATGAATAACCAAATCTAAACTAAACATCTCAAGAAAGAATCTGTCATACTCATTTTACAAGTGAGGAGAGTGACCTGGAAAGAGTAGTTCATGTTCATGATCTGATCACTAATCTGTGTTTACACAGTATCATTAACCTGGCTACAACCTGTTGTAACACCTATCCTTGTGCTTCTTCAATGAAACACGGAGCACGTTTTAAATCCTATTTGCTGTGTAAGCAGTAGTCTGAGGAGAAGTTAATGCAGATTGGCTTCCTGAAGTTGAGGATAGAGCATATTTGGAATATGAAATCTGTATCAGTGAACAGAAGGGGGAAAGCAAGTTTAGAGAGAACTCAAACAGACCCAGCGAAATTTCAGCCAGTCCGAGAGATGTTCTGTGGTGGTTTGAATGAGAAATGTCCCCTATAGTTAAGGGCATTTGAAGACTTGGTCCCCAACTGTGGCACTATTTGAAAAGGTAACCTTGTTGGAGGAAGTATGTCACTGGGGGCAGGCTTTGAGAACTTAAGGCCTCACCCTGCCAGCAATTCATTCTGTTTCATGCTTGTCATTCTAAGTGCAAGGTCTCAGCTCCCTGCTTGTGCCACCATACCTGGCACTTACTTGCTGCCATATTCACCTCTAGAACAGTAAGCCCAAATATATTCTTCTATAAGTTCTCTTGGTCATAATGTTTTATCACAGCAGTAGAGAACGCACTAAGATGCTCTCAGTAAGTACTGTCATACTCGTAGTAAGCTCTGTGATGAATTGAAATGTCTTTATACCTCGGCTTTGCTCAGGCTTACCCAAATGCATGCTGCTCTTGTTAAGTCATGACCTGGAGGTCTGTGTGCTTGAAGTAGAGTCTAAAGCATAGGCGGGGGGGGGGGGGGGGGGGGGGGGGGGGGGGGGGGGGGGGGGGGGGGGGGGGGGGGGGGGGGGGGGGGAGCGCTGCCTGGCTTATACATTCCTCAGAGGTAGTCAGTAAGTCACACTTGAAGGGGAATCTCAGGGCCACATATACTTAACATTCTACTGTCAATGCCTCATTAAGTCAAACAATGTGTAGGCTTCATTTTCAGCATTAAGATATACAAGACCAAGCAAAGCTAGAATAACAAACCTAATAAGTGAAAAAATGTTTCATTTTTAAAAGTGCTTGAGTTGGGGCTGGAGAATTAGATCAGCAGTTAAGAGCACTGGCTACTCTTGCAAAGGACCCAGGTTTAGTTCCCAACAACCACATGGTGGCTCAAAACTGTAACTCCAATTCCAGGGATCTGGTGTCCTCTTCCAATTTCCATGGGCACAAAGCACACATGCAGTACACTTATATACATGCAAGTAAAACATGTACACATAAAAAGTGAAAATACATAATTTGTTTTTTAAAAAGCAGCACCTAAGGTTATTTTTGTTCTTAAGTGTATTATAGGATTGTTTAAAACACACTGCAAACAATAGAACTGTTTCAATGGCTCAGCAGTTGAAAGCATTTACTGCTTTGAGAGGGCCCAGGTTCACTTCTCAGAACCCTCATCAGACGGCCCACAACAACCTACAACTCCACTTCCAGGGAATCTGATGCCCTCTGCCCTCCCCATTTACCTGCACAGACATGGCACACATGAACTCACATAGGCACACACACATCAATTAAAAATGAATAAATAAATTAAATATTGTTTTAGGGTTACAATGAGATACATCTAATATCTAGTAGGATTGTTATTACCAGAAAAACAAAAGATAACAATGATGGTAAAGATGTACAGAAGAGGTAACTCATATAGCTAGCAAGAATGTAAATAAGGTCATTAAAAAGAAAACACAGATTCCACAAAAAATTAAAAAAGAATTATTACCATACGATCCAGCAATTCTACTTACTGATATTTAACCAAGGAAACGGAATTAGGATCTTGAAATAGTACCTGTACTCTGGTTTCACTGCCCCATAGACTCTCCCCAGGCCTGTACTATCACGTTCACAGCCAATCAGCTCCCTCCATGCCTGACCTGTCAAGTCAACTACCAAACAGATCTCCTGGAGCCTCTCTCTACTATCATGTCCACTGCCAGCCGGCTCTCCCCTTTTCTGTACTCTCCCGTCCTCCACCAATCGGCTCTCCCCTTTTCTGTATTCTCCAGTCCTCCACCAATCGGCTCTCTCTCCCCTTTATGTACTCTTCAGTCCTCCACCAATCGGCTCTCCCCATTACTTTCCTCCTCTAAGTCCCCACAGCACCCTCAGCTTGGAACACATACCTTACAAATACCCTCAGTTGGCCCAAACATACAAGGCACAGAAAAAACTGTCAACCTTAAACAATAAAAATCCATGAGCTAGTTCTTTAGAAAATAAAGCAGGAATACAGGCCACATAAGGCTGTGCTTGTCTTTAACCCCAAGACCATGGAGACTGCAGCAAGACCAGGAGGCCAGCCAGGGGTACATAGTGCCTCTCTCGAAATTAAGAAAATAAGAGGAATACAAAAGCGCGCGCACACACACACACACACACAAAATAATAATAAAATAAAATTTAAAACAGGAAGTCTTTGTCGCTAGATTTCTTACATCAAAAATTTGGATGAAATGAGTAACTTCCTAGAAAAACATAGTCTTCCAAAATCCATTACCTAATCAGGAGAGGAATGAAGAAGGGAAAAAGTCAATGGATTGAAAAGCTGGGAAACTCTTGTCAGACACTATCTCCTACTCATCCCAAGAAAAAGCACTTCGCCCAAAACACTTTCAAGGTAACTCCCAAAGAACGGATAGGCTCATGTTTTAAGTAACTGAGCAGGAAGCATGCACTATAAAGCACTATTTGCTGCATGTAAAGTGTCACTACTAAAACCTAACAAAACCAGGTTGTTCTCACTCCTATCAGTAGTTTTTTTTTTTTAATTTCACATCATAAGAATGTATAGCTTGTAATTAAAACTTTAAACAGAGTTTCCAGAACAAAGTCCAAATTCTATAGCAGCTCAGGGCTCGGCTCCTGCCCAGTCAGGCTCATCAGCCACTAGGCACAGACTCTACATGCTGAAGGTAAGCTAACGTCAGTACTATGAAATTACAAGGATCTGACCATCTCCAACTTAATAGTGCTAACTTCACAGGCTCTCACACTGTGTCTTTACGTTACTGCTGCTGCTGAAAATTAGTCCTCTTAGGCAAGAGTCAACACACACCTATAATCCCAGGCTGAGGCAGGAGATTAGGAGTTCCAGGCCAACCTGGGCTATGCAATGAGAACCTATTTCAAAAAAAAATCAGGTCGGGGCTGGAGAGATGGCTCAGCGGTTAAGAGCACTGCCTGCTCTTCCAAAGGTCCTGAGTTCAATTCCCAGCAACCACATGGTGGCTAATAACCATCTGTAATGAGGTCTGGTGACCTCTTCCGGCCTTTAGGCATACACACAGACAGAATATTGTATACATAATAAATAAATATTTTTAAAAAATCAGGGCTGGAAACAAGGCTCAGCTGTTAAGGGAACTTGCTGGTCTGGGGAGGACCTGGTACCCACACGCCCACTCATGACTATCTGTGACTTGACTTCTTGAAATGAAGGTCAGACTGGTCCTTCCTCGCCTACTGTGCTCATGACAAAGTGATTAATTATACCTCCCTTCAGTCTTAAACTGCACCGATCTGGATAACAAACTGTCCAGCACTTCTATCTTAGAAGTCTTCATCCATTTTCCTCCCCTCCAACAGAGAATGTCAGGCACCTGCTGCCCCCATTCACAATTGGTATGATGCATTTGCTGCTCATCAGCACAAAACAGGGCCCGTCTTGCTCATCTCCAAACCACTGAGGTCCAACACATGGTAGATACTTGTGAAACATATTTTGTTTTCTCCTTTAAATTTAGTTTCAGACTAAGACTTTTGGAATCTGCCTAAGAAGAAAAGAAAAAGAATCTAAGTGACCAGATGTGGAAGTGGCAAACCCTGGGAAAACTTCAGGAAACATGCCAGAGTCAAGGCAGCAAGTTGGTGGGGACAGGTGAGTGAGTAGCTTCCTTCAATAAGACATCAGTTTTTCTTGAGACACACAGGACATGACTTTTTTTTTTTTTTTTTTATTTTTGAGACAGGGTTTCTCCGTAGCTTTTTGGTTCCTGTCCTGGAACTAGCTCTTGTAGACCAGGCTGGCCTCGAACTCACAGAGATCCACCTGCCTCTGCCTCCCGAGTGCTGGGATTTTAAAGGTGTGTGTCACC